ATTCCCATTCTTCCCCTTATCCTTCTTATTCTTCTTTTTTTTTTGGGGGGGGTTTCCCTCCGTGGATATGATCGGCTCCACCAATTCCCTCTTCTCCCTCCCCCCTCCCCCCATACACACACACAGTCACTGCAGAGGGCAGGGGGAGCACCCACGCACAAACGCCGATACGACGAGACACCCGGCATAGAGGCTGGCAAAAGACGCCCCAGCAACAAACAGCCCCGAGAGAAGGGGCATTCCTTTCCCTTTCTCTCTTTCTTTCTCTCCTCCTCTCTCCGCTCCCCTCCCAATACCTTCCCCTAGTTTTCTTTTTGTCCCCCTACTATCCGTGCAAGGGCGCTGGTCGACGAGGTGGGGCAACACAAAACAAAGAAGCGAAGTGAGGCTGTAAGCGGTCCACCGCTTTTCCTTTCCCCTCACTACCACCACCGCCATCTACCAGCTGGGAGTGGTGGGCGGACAATCCTTGTGGTAAGCGCCTCGGTCACCCACACCCAAAACCAGCAAACAAAAGACAAAACAAATAATGCACACGCACATACAGACAAACATACATATACACATAAAATTATGAGCAGGTTCGCAATGCACGAATAACCTCGCACAAACCTCCTCGTGACTTTTTTCTTGTCACGTTTGTCACCGTTTGCGACCGCTCATCCCCTCCAAAACATACACAGGCAAACGTGTATACGCAGAAACACATAAAGGCATATACATACATACGTGCATGAGCCCCGCTATTTACGGCCCCCACCCCCCTCTGGGCTCTCTCTGTTCACCCTTCCTCTCTGTGATGCCGGCAAAAGGGTGTCCCACACTCGGTATTGGCCTTGCGTGAGGCTGGGGGTGGCTTCAATTTGCCTTGGCTTTCCATTGGTCTGTTTTAGCTGCCGCCTCCGTCTGCGGCAAATCACAACTCTGCATCATTGCCCTCTCCAAGGAACTTGGCTACCATCTCGCGGCTGCGGCGCACCGTGGTGTTGAATCCTTGGTGTGCTGGAGCACTCGTCGCGCCGTCGAACGGTTCCTCATCGTCGGGGTCGGGGCCCCTCATCAACGTCAACCGCCTGTGCACCGTGCGCTCCTTGACCCTTTCTAGCTTCACAAAACCGTACGCGCTGCGGCCCTCGTTGTGTAGGTCGCCAATCTCAATGAGCTTCGCAAGATTGACGGTGAAAACGAGACCGAAGACAGTGTGCTCGCCCTCCATCAGCTCCACCATCTCCGTCTCGGGGTTAAACGACTTCACCAGCGCGAGGCTGCGACCCCACTGCTCCACGTCATGCGCCTTCGCGGTGTCGTAGTTCAGCAGCAGCACCGAATTGTTGCCCTCGCGCCGGGTGGCGTCCATCAAAATAGTGTCAAGTTCCTCTAGCTCAATGTCTTCGAGCAACTCCACCTGAATTGTGTCGGCATCACCCGTGCAGTTACCACCACCGCCACCAGTGCGTTTCAGTGTGCCTTTGGTGGAACTGTTCGTCGGGTTGCGGGATTCGATAAACATGCGGCAGACCTGCGCGAGAAAGCGGGCGTCAATCTGTTTGTTAATGACTGTAAGAGACACGTCCACGTCTCGCCACGCGAAGGCCTGACTACCGCGCCGACGCTGGTCAGCCATCGTCTTGAGGTAGGCCTCGTAAAAAATCTCTTCCGGTGAGTAGAAGAAGCCGAGCTGCGCAAAAGCCATGGAAAGGGCCTGAAAGTGTGGGGACGGACTCACGTGGAAGATGTTTTGCACCGGTAGGATGTGCAGTGGGAAGTCACGGGTGTACTTCAGCGGGAAGCGGGACTCGCATCCCCCTTCGCAGCGGGTCAGTGTGATGCAGCCGGAGCGGCGGTGCTTCGCATCCTCCTCCAGCAACACATCGTGGAGGGTGCGCAGGGGGACGGGCCACGTGCGGAAGTAGCTGTGGGGGTTACTGTCCATCACCGTCACACTCTCCGTCGACGGGTTGTAGCCAATGACGATGCCGGTGGAGCCAAACGGGTGGGCGACGCCAAAGATTTCAATCTTTTCCTTGTTGAAGAGAACAAAGAGAACCCGGTTGGGGTTATCGACGCTCTCCACGACGAGTTGCTTGAAGTCATCCCACGGCAGCCTCGGTGCGCCGCTGCGGCAACGATCGGTGTGGTATGTCTGCACCTCCATTGAGAGGCCAACAGCGGCAGTGTACGTCGTTAGGCACACCGCCAGCGACTCCACCGTGAAGTACCGCAACATCAAGGAGGAGATCTCAAATGGCAGTGTCATGACGACATCTTCAAACGTCGTGAAGATACCCAACTTGGTCAAAGCAAGCGCCATCATCGTCGAGCTCAGCGGCAAGGATGGAAAGTGAAAGGTCTTGACGACCTCTGTATGCTCGCCGCCTAGCGTCTCCTGTTCGTGCAACAACTCCAGACGATTCTGCACTGTTGACGCAATGCGACGCGGGGCCCCAACAAGGCTGGGCTCTGGCACGAATCCCAACAACTGCGAGCCGCCGCACGTGCTGCTCTCGCTTGACTTGTTGCGCGACGCCACCTCCCGGGACTTGGAGAAGATGATGTAGCCGTTGGACGTCATGGCCTTGTGCAGGCGGTCGAGGGGGCAGGTCCAGGTCTGCATAAACGTCTTGGGGTGGGCGTCGATGAGGAGCACCATCTGCGTTTCCACGTCGTAGCCAGCCAGCAGGCACCACTGCGGGAAATGCGAGATGTGCAGCACATTGTGTGCCACGTTGGCGTTGTACATGATGGCCATGATGTGCTCCGGCACCTCTGGATCCTCGTTGGCGTCCTTCACATCGATAATGATCGACTCCAGTTCGAAGATGGAAATGGTCGGCACCGCATTGTCGCGAGAGATTTTCGTCAGCACCGGGCAGACGGAAACGTTGTAGTTGAGGTTGGTGATGCGCACGTACTTGCGTGCGTAGCGGAACACCTCGCCCAGCGGCAGTGAACCGTCAATCAAGACGTCGGCAGGAAAACACATCTTACGGATGATGTCTGAGACGGGCAAGCCGTTACCATACCCGTGCGAGTTTGGACGCACCCCACCAAGCAGATGCATCGCCCACGACACGGCGGCAATATGAGGGCTGATGTGTGTCGATACCACAGAGGCGTGAATGCCCTGTAGCGTTGAGCCAATCACCTTGCCGCTGCTGAGCTCCGGGGTAAACATAAGTGGCACCTCATCGTGCATCATCACGGGCACGCAGTCCTTGCGGAAGATGCGAATGAAGCCGCGGGCACGGCAACCATCCTTAACGACCGTCATCGCCTTATAGAGGGCAGCGGCCGGAACCTCCATCAGCGTCACATGGAGCGACTCCCCAACGACGCCCTCAGCCAATGTCACCATCAGCTGCACCACATTGCGTACATCCACGATAACGGCGTAGGCCCCACTGTTGTTCGGCGGGTAGCAGTGCACAGCAGGACGCGCATTAACTAGCGCCGACGCCGCCAGCGCAGAGTGCTCCTCATCCTCGTCGTCAAAAGCGTCCACGAGGGTCTCCTGCTCCAATACATAAGGATCGTAGTTAACAATACGAATCACCTGCGTCTCCTCCTCGCAGTCGTGTGTGATGACCTTACTGAACTCTGGCAGCTGCATCCGCCGCTGACGGTCGCCGACGTCGTTGTTGCCGAGTTCCACCTGGCCGAGCGCTGGTGAAATGTCAAGGTGCATCGCGGAGAGGCCATAATCGTTTTTGAAGCGGTTATCCACGCCAATGAAGTCGCGTATGATATCTGACATCACCGGTAACCCCTGAACACCACCGTGCAGGTAATGCAGAGGGACATGCGCTGCAAAAAAAATATCCTCCACGGTGACGCGTTTCTTGCGGTCTTTACATCCTTTTTCGCCCCCAAGCAAATAGGAGAGCGCCACGGCCGCCGCCCCAAAGTGGCTGCACTCCATCAGGTTGGTACCCTCCTCCGGCCGCTCCAGCTCGTAACTGTTAAAGAAATTCATCCGCGCTTTGCGGATCTCCAACACCTGCTGGCGACTATGCTTTGGTTGCGGCCCCAGGGAGAGGGGCAACTTTGAGACATCGGCGTTGCTGATGTTGTTGTTCGCCGGCGTCGCGTACGAGACGCCAACCGAAATCGTGCGGGAAACCGCCTCCATAGACATTTGGTTCAGCCGCTGGCTTGTGTTTGCGACTGTTGTGAGGACTTGTTGGGCTGGCGGCAGTTGCTGCTTTTGTTGTTGGCCGATCTGGACAATGGGGGAGGTGCCAAACGACACCTGCGACAGGTGGCGCCCCCCACGCAGCGACGGCTCCAACCCGTCCTCGCCGGTGCCCGGGCGTTGATCCGTTGAGCTGCCAGTGTTGGTGTAAATCCGGTCATGTTCCATTGCACGTCGGTTCGAGCGCGCCACCTCCTCAAGCTCCGCCAGGGCGGACTCCCACTTACTGAGGTGCGCCTCCACGGAGGCGGAGGCATTTGACTGACCGCCCCCCATTTCCGTGCTGAACCGCTTTTCTCTCACACACACGCCTGTTGCTCTTCCTGCTCGCTTCGTTATAATCCGGTGCACCCGGACGGCGTGTACCGTGAATATCTAAATATATGTGTGCGTGCACACCTTCGGTTCTGTTGAAATCCCGACGACGGCCGCCGCGGTGGCAGGCAAAACGTGAGGAGGAAAACAAAACAAAAAAAAGACCCAACACACAACAACCTGTATCCCACCACACGCACAACAAGGCAGCAAGGCGGCACAGCGAGGGAGAGGAAAGAAAAGAAAGTACGCAGAGAGAAAAAAAAAACACGAGCACTATAAAAAATAATAATAAAATGCGGGAGAGGGATGATACTATACACAGCTCCGTCAATTACTTTCCTAGCCAGGCGTTCAGGTACTTCACCAAGACCCTCCGCTGCGCCGTGAGCGGCGCGGGCTCATCGCGGTCAAAGCTGCTCAGGTCGCCACAGTGCCCACAGCCGTTGCACTGCGCTGTGACTTCAGGGTACTCTGCGCTTTGTGTGTGGGTCACCCCGGCTGGCAGCCACGGGTCGTCAGAGCCCTGAGTTGCCACCACGCGTGTGGCCGTGGGATGTGCGCCACCGTGGACCGCGTTGAAGGCGTAGGTATCAGGAAATATGTCCTCACCAAACGCCGCGCGGCACTGATCAATGAAGTACGACGTGGTGACATCCTCCAACCGCAGACTGCCTGGGTAGCTTACCTGCCAGTACGCCAGCTGCGAACAACACTGGTAGGCCCAGGTGTAGTCGGAGTCCCACAGATAACTGTAACTCGCGTTTGACAGGCACTCGGTGCTGTAATAGCACATCCGCGTAAAGTCCGTACCCCAGAGTAGTCGGATAAGGCCCGCGTACTGCTTGAAGGGGTCCTGCCTTTGGACGGGCTGCATCCATGCGCAAAGCTTGTCCTTTAACCCGTACTGCACAGCCATCGCAGAACCGTCCGCGAGCATCCACGCCATATCAGCCTTAGTAAAATAGCTGGGGGTGCCAAACGTCTGCATCATGGGACCGCGACGCTTCGGGTCGTCGTACGCCTCCGTGAAGGCGTCAAAGACGGTGCGAATGGCGGCGGCACAGGCGCTGGGGAGGACGTCCAACAAATGCCCATCAAACGCGTTGTAGTCAAAGATGGCATTCACCACACCACTGCTGCTCCACGCGGCGTCAAAATCCTCCGGGTACCTTGCCCGCGCCCACGCGCTTAACGCCCCCGCGTAGCTGCCACCCACAATTAGCCATTTAACTTTCTTCCCCACCACCGTCTTCTCGGCATACCGCTTGAACGCCTGCAGGTCCGCGAGGGCGTTCTCCACCGTCAGGTACTTCAGCATCGATCGATTCGTGAGAGGTGCGGGAAGGCTCTCGCCGTAATAACGGTGCTCGAGAGAGATGATGACGGCCCCAACGGTAGAACAGTAGTGCTCAACAAACCCCTCTGGTGAGGGGGAGGCGGGGCTCTCGCCGTTCACGTACAGCACGGCTGGACCGCTGTCACCGTCCCAAAAGGAGCGGTCCACCCACCACCGCTGCTTGAAGGTGCCGGCGGCGGCGTCAGTGTGGTCAACCCGCTGCTCGTAGTAATTCGTGAGAGACGCGTGCGCGTCATGGCGTTGCTGGTGTGCCCCGCCAAGCTGCCGCCACCCAGTGCGCCGCAGTGCCTCGCGGTAAACTTCACCCCCACGCGCTCTTGAGGGAATAACGGAGGGATGCACTGCCGTCACCGAGCCACTGAACGCATCAGCCACCAGCCCCAACAGAAACAACAGTGCGAGTGTGCCAAAACGATATGTAATGCTGCGGTGTGACAATTTCTGCTGAAATAAGAATAAATTGCGACTCATTTACTTGGGATTGCTTTGCTGGATGTGCGTGTTTGTGTGTTTGTGCGCCTCGAAGCCGCCCTCGCCAGACGCACAGGCCTGCAGCAACAACAACAACAAAAAAAAAAAGGAACACAAACATCGATAGTAACGCCTCACGCGCCGACCACGCGGCATCGCTGGGAGATGCGGGAGCAACACGCATCCGGCAATGAAACTGAAGACAAAGACACGCATGCACCCACACATACGGATGGATAGAGAGTGTGTGCGTGGGTGTAAAGGAGAGACGGCACCGTGTCGCCGCCACACCGTGGGCCTCTTTAGCTTGCCGTTGCCCCAATCTCTTCTTTCCTTTTTTTTGTCATTTCCCTTTCCTCCTTCTGTTCTTCTTCATTCCTCATCGCCGCTTGGATTTCGCATCGTCCGGGTCGACTAGGCCCAAAAAGATGTTGCTGAGGAACGACAACACCCCGCCTTGCTCCTCCTGCGCCGCACTGCAGTGTCGCGCGCCAAGCTGGAACTCCAGCTCCCGCTCCTCCCTCTCCAGCTGCTCCGCCAACTCCCGCACCTCCGCCATCTCTCCGTTGATCGTATCGAAGACCGCAATCTTCTGCTGCAGCTCCGCCTGGTGGGTCGTGCGGAGGTCCTCTAACTGCCGCTGCAACTCCTCCACTGATGGCATCCCCCGCCCCCTCAGAGCCCCAGTAAACACTCAACTAAACAAAAGAAGAAAAAAAAAAAACAGAAACAAACAACACATAGAATGCGCCGCAAAGTTGATGGACCAAGCCAAAACAAAACACCGGACAAGCCAAACGTCGCTCCGCCTCCAACCTAATCCGATCTTTGCGCCTTTTTCTTTCCTCCTCCTCTTTCTTCTGTCTTTTTTTCCACCCTCACTCATATTGTCGTTGCCACGTTGCTTCCCCTGTGGGCCACCGCCTCTCCTGCAGGGGGCGTTTTGCCTCTCGCGGCAGTTACTTGCGCCATAACACATAGAAGCGTGTTGTTTGGCGCCCAGAAATGCACAGCTTGCCTGTGCAGAGGAAAAGTCGGTGACTTATTGTTGGTGGGGAAGGCAGAGGCCCAAACTAAACGCGGAAGCCAACCTAAGTAAGCAAAGACTGCGACTGCGGCAGCCAAGAGAAAAAAGGAAAAGGAGAGAAAGCGAGAAAGCGGGAAGATCTCACGCCGCTTTGGTGGTGCAGCACGCAACTGAGAAATTGCCCGGAATGCACCGCGTAGCAGACGTTTGTTTGTGTGTTGGTCCTGCAGGCCTGTAAAGGAGGAGACGGGATGGAGCGTACGTGCATACGTGTGTCAGCGTTTCTCGGGTCAATGCACTAGGCAGCCGCAGGCACAATGTCTTCCGCAGAAGGCTCAGCGGCGCCGGAAAGTTGACCCTCGTACTCCGCCGTCGCCGTCGCCGACCGCCAGCGAGAGCGCCAAAGCGTGAGAGGAATGCCCCGCCGTATCCACACCCCATAACGGCCGCGGAAGTGAGAGGAGTAAGCGTGTATATGTGTGGCCGCAAAGAGAGGGCTCACACACACGCTCAACAGAAAGAATTCCCGCGGAAACAGTGAGCGAGCAACAACAATCACGCACACGATAAGAGACAAGCTGCCAGCGCCCCTGCCTCCTCCCTAGCGGAGAGATGAGAAAAGAAAGGGAAAAGGAGAGTGCAACGCGTGCCCCCCACCCCTCCCCCCCTCCGCTCAAAACGACAACGTCGGCTCAGGTACACGCATGTGCGTGTACGCATGTCCGTATTCACTTGGCGACCCACAGAAGAAGAGAGAGAGAAAAAAAAGAAGACCCAAGCCGAGCTTGCGCTGCTTACAAACATCAAGCGCAGTCCCCCCACCCCCACCCCCCCTCTACACCCACACCCACCCCACCCTCTCTCTCCGCAAAAAAAAAAGGAGAGACACACTGTATCTTCCTGAACGACCTCATAAAAGCCCAGTTTTATTATGCGTTTTTACTGAAGCGTCGCATTGCCATTCCGCCTTCGCCCCCATGCCGCCTTCCTGGCCTCCCCCACTTGCGCCCAACGACGTTTGTTCGCCCCGCGCGCGAAGGGTTACTAAGCAGGGCACGGTAAACGCTGTGCGGCCGCCGCGAGACGATGCAGCCTGTTCGAAGATGCACACACTGAAAGAGAAAGAAATAGAAAAAGGGAAAATGATGAAGGCAAAAACCCCGCACGGTATGCATATACCCCTGCTCACATGTGTGTGGACACGGACGCCACAAAGCAATAAACAAACCGAAAAAAGAAAAAAAAAGATAGGCAAACGCATTTTCCGCCGTGTGACATGCCTTTGTGTCTGTGCGTATGTGTGCGTCCCCTCCTCTTGTCCGCATGTCCGTTTTGGTTAACCCTTCTCGTACACTTCCCAGCAGGCGTTGCAGTACATGCCTGAGTCCCTGGTGCGCATATTGGTTGGCCACACAGTAACTTCTTCCCGCCTGCACTCGCTGCAGGTTCCCATGAACGACTTATTCCCACGCTTCACGGCAAACTGAGGTTGAAGGCGCTCCGGCAGCTTCTCACGCACCACTGTCTTCACCGCTGCCTCCTGCAGCTGAAGGACCGTCAGCAGCATGCTTCGCAGCCGGTGGTGCCGTAAGAGCGCTTCGATAAAGGCGTCGTCCCGCACCGCGGTCGGGAGCGCGTCCCTCAGCGCCAAGCGCATCTCCCCAACCTTCATGCTCGAACCGCGCCAAACGCGTGCCAGGGTGTTCACATGTAGCTGCAGTAAATCTCGCTCCGCCGCGGTGCGAAATGCACGGCCGCATGCATAAAAGTACGCCCCTCGGACCGACTCCGGGACCTCTTCCTCGGCAAACCCCAACAATCCTGCCATCTTCAGCTTTTCGTCCATCTCAAGCAGAAATGTGTGAGGCGAAGGCGATCGCTCCGCGACCTCGTCACCGTCTGCCTTGGTATCTGCATCGTCTGCCTTGGATCTGCATCGTCTGCCTTGGTATCTGCATCGTCTGCCTTGGTATCTGCATCGTCTGCCTTGGCATCTGCATCGTCTGCCTTGGCATCTGCACCGTCTGCCTTGGATCTGCACCGTCTGCCTTGGCATCTGCACCGTCTGCCTT